AGGCCCGCCAAACGGCCGGTCAGGCACCTAGCACTGCATTTGGAGAAAAAGAGTAAGGGACATTCATTGCATATCTTGAGGTATGGAGTATTTCACTTCACTCCAGTGTGCAAATAGAGCAGTAGGGGAAAACAGGGATTTGAGTGTATGAGTGTGGGGGAAGCACAGGTTAATTGTAAAGCAGACCTAAAGCCTAAGCGAATATTAATCTATTGCCAGCCCACATTGTCCTATCAACTAAACTAAAAACCAATGTATTTACCTATCTACAGTTCTGATTCCTTCACTGGCTCCTAAAACGCTTATCCTCCGGAAGCTTCAATAAATTCTAAGTAAATGACCCGGAACGAGTGAGAAGTCATGTGTTCTGACTTGCTGTATGTGTGAATCAGAATAATGACAAAGCCGCGGCCTGTATATTTTTCTCCAGGTATCCTTGAATTCAGATTCCAATCTGACTAACCCTGGCTATATCAGAGGGATTCCAACCATACAGGCAGTGTCAGGCTTTCTTAGAGACACTGTCACCATGTTCATGCAGTTCAAAGTGACAGTGTCTCTGCAAAGGGACCCCCATACTCACCTTACATGCTTGCGCTCCATTGCAGCTCCTTGCTTCTCCACAGCCAGTGACAATACCCGGCACCTCCAGGGTATGAGGGAGCATGTGACCTGCTCTACTGTGATGGAACCCAGGATTATCCGGCACAAGCGCTGTCACATGATCGTGGAAGGGATGTTATCGCTCTCCCAGGTTACCAATACAGCTGATTTTAGCACAGGAAGGAGCAGTGATGGAGCACAGGTAAGGTGATATTATAGGGGTGGGGGGGATGCCCTTTGCAGAGATACTGTCACTTTCCCCTGCATGAGCAAGGTGACAGTGTGTCATTTGAAGATACCCTGTCACTCTGCCCAATCAGGGCAAAGTGACAGTGCTTGGGCACTGCCCATCCACCCAAGCACCTATAGTTACCAAGCCAAGCTCCTTTGCAGCATTTCAGCCTCTCTATGCTCAGTCAACTGGTGCTGGAGCTCGAGCAGAGTATGGCAAGAGTACATACCTGGTGTTGGGAAGACACCGGAACAGGAAAAGCGGCACAGTGGTCCTAAAGCTGGCCATATACATTTGGCAGACTCCTGCTAATTGGCCAAAATTCAAGCTGTGGGTGGCCCTGTCAGCACCATTGGCTCCACAAAAGGCTCCTTTTGCCAAGCCAGCAAAGACAATTGAAGACAAAAAGGAAATTGTTAGCTAAGCAGAGACTGCAGCTAATCAGCTACAGTCACTGTTTAGGTATTCTGACAGTGGTGGGCCCCGGCTGTCAGAATACAATACCTCGGAAAGGGGAGATTCCTCTATTTGTGCTGTTTAGCATGGATGGAGGAATCTGTAAGATTTCGTTCTTTCAGCCCGCAGAGTGAAGGGAAGAAATCTGTGTGTCCATGGCCGGCTTAAGTCCAGCATGGTTTCCGCACTGAGTATCACGGAAGTGCCCGGTATTACAAGTCTATGTGTAAAATCATTTTATATGAACCATAATAAAAAATGCCATAAAACAACACTTTATAGTATTAGAGGAGTTGCGGGATTTTAAGAACTAACCCTTCCCTCTCCCCCTCAAGGGTTAACTGCTCATTTAGATCCAAGGGCTCAAATAAAGCAGATGTAAGTACCTTATCCTCGGTCCGACTTGGCTGCTACACCGGTCCCCGCAGCCTCTTCTCCCCCAGGCTCCAGTGGTCTAAAGACCCGAGATGTCATCACGTCTAATGCATAAGATGTGAGGACTAGTGATGGGCTTGGGCGTGTTCGCAAGCGCCTTGTGCCGAGCCCGCCAGGAAGCCGTCAGCGCCAATCACAGGCACTGAGACATGTTCCCGGTCCGCAGCTGACAGGACCGAAGATCAGGCAAGTAGTTTTTCTTTATTCTGGCCCATAGACAAAAACAGGAAGTTTACCCTTGCAGTGCGAGGGTAGCCCCACTGCAAGGGTAGGCTTAAGGAGGAGTAAAAACCTGGAGTTCTTCTTTAAAACATAAAAATAAAAGTAACAAAAAACAATCATACTCTCCCTTTAAAGTACAACGCGTTCCATGCGCGTCCACAATCACACCTGACGCCCTATAATATAAACAACGTACCTGCAGATTTTCTTCAGCTCTTTCAGCGGTCCTGGTTTAAGTTCTGCTTCTCCTGATGTGGTCAGGGACTCCACCAGCTCCTCCAGTCTCTGATCCATTCTTAGACGTCATACATCCCTGCGATCACAACAACAGAAGAACACATTACACTCCTCATCTATGTACACGCCTTGGATGATCACATGACACAGAGCAAACCTGCCCCTTCCAAGTCCACAATCTCTGCTGTGCAACTAACATTACTTTTATTTATGCAGCTCCAACATATCTGACAGTATAATGGAATCCATGGAAACCCAAACTAAACATTCCAGGATTAAATCCCAACTTCAAAACTCAGATTTCAGCTCTGTGTTTCCACCAGTGTTGGCAAAGCCAGGTTTTGGTTGCGGTCTGTGTCTCATTGAGGTGATTTCCTTTCACTTCCTGCCCCAGAGATACAACACTTCCTTCCGGGATAGCTGAGACTTGTGTTAAAATGAACCTTGCATTCATTCAGAGCAGGGGTAGGCAACCTTGACTCTTTAACTGTGGTGAAGCTACAACTTCCATTATGCCTCTGTGAGTTATGCCTGTGGCTGTCAGAGTCTTGCAATGCCTCATGGGACTTGTAGTTTCTTGTAATTGCATGGGACTGGTAGCCTGCATCCCCTAATGATGTCACTGGTTGCCAGCGGCTGGGCGGGATGCTCTGGCCGGCATCCTCCAGTGACGTCACTGGTTGCCAGGAAGCTCTGGCCGGCATGCCTCAGTGACGTCACTGGTTGCCAGGAGCTGGGCAGGACACTCTGGTCTGCATCCTCCAATGATATCCCTAGTTGCCGGAAGCTGGGCAGGAAGCTCTGGCCGGCATCCCCCAGTGATGTCACTAGTTGCCGGAAGCTGGGCGGGACGCTCTGACCTGCATCCCCCCTGTGACATCACTGGTTGCCAGGAGCTGGACAGGACGCTCTGGCCAGCATCCCACAATTACATCCCTGGATGGCAGGAGCTGGGCAGGACTAGGGTTGCCACCTGTCCCGGATTCACCTGGACAGTCTGGGTTTTAAGTCCTGTATGTGCTGTGTCTGGGTTTCAGCTGGCTTCAAGCGGCACCCAGGGCATGTGTAGGCACCATGTCCTGGATATGCCACTGCACCCATCCATGACCTTTCAGACGTGGCTCTGTTCCAGCAGCCGCACCAAGCTTGGAGCACTGCAAGGGGACAATCTGTAAACAGCATGTTCTCCGTCAGGGTAGCACAGGGTGTGAATAAAGTGACAGGCAGGGAGGGTTTTGGTCCCTTTAACCGGATCCTGACTGAAATCTGAATAAGAACATCCTCATCTATGGCGTCCTGAGATGATAGAAGGTCAATCTATGTCCCATTGTAAAAGTGGGCACCAATCAGGAGAGTTCCCAATTACGTCGTCACCATGACAGACAATCATAGTGAGCACATGAGCTTTGTTTACAAACAAACCTGCACGCTGCAGCTGTCAGTAATAATAATAAAGTCTGACCGATTACAAACTTGTGTGTACAACAGGTAAAACTTTATTTGTGTAAACATTTTTATGCACACAATATCCTGAACGGGGTATTTATGAAAGCAGGACACCACATATCGGTCTTTGTCATGTTTGTTTTGAAGGGCATATTGGTCATAGAGTTATTATCAAGCTCACCGACGCATTCTGACACTCATAAAGGGGGTTGGTCTAGCGGCGTGTCAGATCATAAACAGGAACGCTCGACTTTCCCTAGAATACACTTATGTGAATGGAGCGCGAGGT